GTTAAGTTAAGAACCGATTGTACAATCGAATTGGTTTGGTTTTGGTTCTAATTTCTTGGCCTAAGTTGGTTTAGCTCGTACTGGTTCTCAAATGTAATAAAACAAACCGAAGGCCGAAGCAGAGTAAATATTAAGCAGAGTCCGAATTTAGAGTTTCAACTTGTTTCTCGTTTGCAGTAGTAACTAGTGAGTTCATTGAGACCTTTAAGAAGAGGCTATCAAACCAAATTTGAAATTACTTACCATCACAGTGACAAATACCTGAGAATTCTTTTTGGTTAATCTCTATATGTATATCTCTTTGACTCTTGTCAATAATGGGCATAGCCTAGTCCCTCTCTTACAAACTCGAGTGTTTTAGACACTAAGCAACGATACAACAACCAAGAACATATTACAAAAACGCCAAAATGCGTTTGTATCAGAACAAAATCAGTCAGATAATGGAAGTTCATGCTGAGAGTCAGTTCAAGAGAACTTGACCTCGACTTCGCAGTTGTTTGAAGAATTCTTAATGGTCATACCTTAATGGTCAGAGTCTTCAGGTTTGGAGAATTCTTAACCAGAATTTCCAGACCATAGCAACAGTAATCTGGTTCAGTACTAATTGATAAATGACACATGTTGCCAAACTTTGGGATTACTTGGTAGACGGCATCAAACAGCTGGAACAGAACACAAAAGATACAACTAGTCAGTCATAACTTCAACAAACATTCTAATGTCTTGCAAGATTTTGATTTTTAATATCTCAATGGTTCCTTCCTCATGTTCTACTATTTGTTAAGCGGGATTAACATAAGAGAAAGTAGAAAACAGTAGAGAACACTGACCTGCATTGTCTCAACATAGTCTAAGCTCATAATCTGAACATTTTTTAACCCTATAACCAGATTCCCTGGATTGTAACTCTCCGGAGCGTGCCATACAGGAAGATTGAGCTTTGCTTCAACAAGGGAGTTGAGATTAACTACTGGATACTCATCTCGGAGAAGATCAGAGTATTCTAAGTATTCAAGACTTGGAGTATCAAAACTAATAGCCACATAACTCGAGCCATCCTGTTGTACCCTATCTTTACGCCGAATAGTAAGTCTATTAAGGATCTGACTAGACACAGTGCCAGACCAATTCCAATCTTCACAGTTGTGGCCATCTATGACTAACTCCTCAAGCACGGGACAAGCAGAAATAAGCCTCTGGAACACACAACCATCACCAAGACTATAGAACTGAACTGAATCAAGAATGAGAGTCTTAAGAGCTGGAAGCGAAGCATCCTTAGGGATAATGTCGATAACAAAACCAGACCCTAGTTTCAGTTTCACCACTGTACTGCAAGTGAATACCTCAGAAGGCAATGGGTAATCTTTGTCTACATTGATGTCCAGTTCAAGATCCATCACACCTCGCTTCAACACATTGCATAGACACTCGTTGACAAGCTTATACTGAGCTGAGTCAAAATTCGTAGGCCGCAACTTCAGAGAGAGTCTTCTTACACGGTAACTGACATGTCGAGCCAATAATCGATCGACGAATGACTTGAAACTTCCGCAAATCTTTACCGAGTAATCAAAAACAAGATCCGATTCAATGGTAAATAGATTCAGCCATTGTTTGTAGAGAACCCTTGTGCGCGCAGCTTCCTTTGCCGAAAGGAAGGAGACGATATGGATAATAAGATCTTCTGGTAAAACTGTATCTCGTCGTTTTATGATTCTAACCATACTTTTCACAAACCCTAGAGAACCCTTTTCACTACCCAGAAAATCCCAATTTCTAATGGAACCTTCAACGACTCGACTCCGATATCAACCACAATTCCCAAAGAAGATAATCAACGATCAATTTCAAAGCAGGCGAACTTACTTCACAAGTCGATATGAAGATGGTGAAGAAGCAACCCAGAAATCATCGCGAACGCAAATATGCAGGAACAAGAAAACTTGAAGCGAAATGTGCAGAAATTGAGGTAGAAGACGACAGATTCCGATCAATTTATCACTCGTACCATGAGATTCGAGAGATTACTGAAGCGAAAATCCATCTTCCGAAGCGAAATCGACGAGGAATCAGAGAAGAATCGTAGCAATGTTCTTGAGAAAGAAGGTGAGAGAAACTGAAACGACTCAAAGAAACAATTTCAATTTTCTTCTTTTCTTTTCTATAATTTTTTCCCCGTTTACGAAATATAAAATCATTTTTGGTAGCCAATGATTTTGCGCCAGGTGTAATCAGCCACGGCTCGATAACTGAATTAGTTTCTTGTTTGTTTAAGCAGCATCACGCGCTTTATCTACTTTGCTGTCACGCGCTTAAATCGTAAAATTGGACTTTCCCAAAACAGGCCCATTTCTCTTTGTCTTTGCATAGAAGCCAAGGGCCCAAGATATATTTTTTTTTAAAAGACGTCACAGCAACCAGTGATAGATTACAAAAACCACAAGATGTTCGAGATAGGCTGTTAGATGCAGAAAAACAACAAGAGGTTTCCATTCGCATCATTAAGTATCGTATATTTTTTTGTTTTATAAGAGCATCTCCATCGGAGAAATTTAGGGGGTTTTTAAAATATAAAATTATTAAAATTTGAGTAAAAGGAAGAAAGAGAGTGTTTTTTGTTGAAATAGTGGGGTGTATTGAAATATAAAATTAATAAAATTTGAATAAAAAGAGGAGATAGTGGAGAGAGGGTATGTTTAGGTTGTATGTTAAGAAATTTTTGGAGAAGGTTTTTAAGTGTGCTTAAATATAAAATTAATAAAAGTTGAGTAAAAGTATGAAAGAGAAAGTATAAAGTTGAGTAAAAGGAAGATAGAGTGTGTGTTTTAATAATTTTATATTTTAAGAACCCCTAATATACCCCCTAAATTTCTCCAATGGAGATGCTCTAAGTATGTGAATTTCGTATAAAATGAGAAGGTTTGCAGATCCGACAATTCTTTGCC